AAGGTCTATACACCACAACTGAGAAGATGTAGGCAAGAAAATTCCTATATGTACTCAAAAACTAATGGGAAGATAATGTAGTTGGTATTTCTCTGTTAAATAAATTACAGGAATCATAAAAGATTTTGTGTAAGAATTTCTTTGTTCTCTAGGACTATGTAAACTATAAACAAAGTTAAAAGTTTAAGTTCTTCAAACATGCTACATGTTTTGTATTGTACAAGATGTATAATACAAAAATATAGTTATAATAATTATTGAACATTTTATCAAATATTCTAAACACACTCATAATTTAAAACTCTTAGAACAAAGAAAAAATTCATATATGCTCTATTACCATTAGAAAAGCAACCTCTACACAAAGCATGCACAGGCAGATGGACAAGCAAAATCACTCAAGGACCATGTGTCATGCAGTAAAGTAGGTTTGTCCAAAATAATCACTTATAAGCAAAATGCTGAAAAATCAATAAACAAGCCATGATTTTCTATACTTACCCAAAATATACCACAAATCTTTCCGTTTCTACCCTGTGCAACATTAAAAAAAAAAAAAAAGTGTGGGGGCTGGGGTAGGGGAAAGGAGAAAGAGGCAACATTTGCCAAAACCACACTAATACTGCTAGAAACTTAAGAGAGGCAGGGTAAAATAAAGCTAAAGAAAGCCCGTCTGTTTTTTCCCAAGCACTAGCCATGTTCACTTTATGGGAACTCCGCACACTGGTACTTTGCTATTGACAAGTGTTAGCAAGAGGTTCAGCAATTCCCACTTATGGAAGATGACCCCATGGCCAGGCAGTATGTTAAGACTCATTCAAGACATTCCTTTCCAGGCCTCCTCCAAGGCGCTTATGCTTGCCAAACATTGTACATACTCACAAACCACAGCAGCTGAGCAAATTTCATTCAGTCCTATTTATAATTACTTAGGTAGTTTTAATTAGGTTTTTTATAGAAAAACAAAAACCTCAATCCTCAGTTGCAAAGCTTGCTGTTTTTTGAATAGGAAAACTAAAACTGAACAAGTAGAGAAACACACCTTTCTTCATTTGCCTGGGAACATACTCAAGAAGCTATAAAATAACATGCTGTATTTTAGTACTAACAAATACTGTATCAAGAAATCTAAATACTTTTCTCAATCCTCAATTTAATTAATTTTCAAATAGTCTTGAAAATATTGAAATATAGAACTCTTGCCTCTATTTTTAATCAAATATATATTTATAAACAAGGAGTTATATATCACATATATCTTCTAAAATTAACTGACATTATAAAGTTGTTTCTGATTTCGGGGAAACTGAACAATAAAATGTTTTTAATTAAGATGGTATTGAATACATCTTAAAATGCTTAGTATCATGGAAACTTCTATCTATATTTAGTTGAAAATTAGAGAATTTTAAATTGACTTTAGGAGAAAATTGTACACTATAATCACAATAAAGTATTGATAATTTTTTATCATAATATTGTTGCAATAACAATATTGCAATGAAGCTTATTGCCATTTATTCATTCTTTAATTTCAGCTTGTTTAAAAATCAGCAAAACTAAGGTTTTGAGAAAACAACATGTTTTTAAAATCATAGATTTTATTCTTTTTGGTTAACTAAAGTTAAAATGTTTTAGAAAACACTCAAGTGTAATTTTGCGCATTTTCACACATGCACAATTGAGACAATACAAGTATACTCAAGTTACTAATTGAATTAAGACATTTTAATGAACATATAAATGAATCTCCTCTACTTGAAATGAAAGGAATCATTAGTTTTTGAAATCCTCTATCCCATGATTTAGACTTACCAGTATACTGTTTTTACCAATATGAGAAAGGAAAAAAGAAGACTACGAAAGTAGCATTTAATTATTTTCAAATGTTTACATGATGAGGTTCAAAAATGACTGTTTTAAAAGCATCTGACTATAAAAAAAAACCCATAAAATTTCAAAGGTATTTAAATCATTCTTTAAACAATCATTAACTTCAGAGCAGAAACTAATCTGAGTTTATAAATGTTATGGGTTACTACAGTTAGGGATTATAATCGTTCCTCATTTTCTCATTTTAAAGATATAATAAGTGTGCAGACCTAATTTAAAGTAACATGGATACAAGTGAGAAAGTAATAATTTTAGTCTATATTTTACAAATTATTTCATCACATGAAATTCTTTCTTAGGATCCAGTATAAAACAGATATTAAAACTGCAAGTTATTTGGACTTATTTTTCTTAATTGTGTTGTGTTTTGTTTTTGTTTTCTGCGGTTTTGGTTTGTTGCTGTGTTATGTAGTCATCAAAGCAAACAAAATGTATTCATAATGTAGTCATCAAAGCAAAGAAAATTAACAATGGGCATTAAATCATCTGTTTCCTACATTCTGTAACTTTTTTTATCGTAAAAACTTTTAAAATAATAAAACTACTCATCAGGTTTTTAAAGCTGTGTTCCTTTCATTTGATTGATAAAAGAAAGGTTGTAACAAACCTTGAAAAGTGTTTTGGCAAAATATTAGCAAAGAAACCAAAAAGTTGATAATAAAATTATAGAGAAATAGGGGTTACACATAAAAATCATCAATATTTCACTTATGATTGTTGTTGTTGTTAAGTGCCATCAAGTCAGTTCCGACCCATAGCAGTACAAAATAGTATTTATTAAATTAACTTGTGAATTTCACCCTTTCTGAAATATGAATTTACAAAGTCTTCAAGTCATACAACCTTCTCTAACATGCCTCCACTTAAATATAAAGAGAACTTTACTAGCAAACAGTTTGCTTTTGATTTTTAAAAAGCACTCATTTGTATCAATAAAATGTAGTATTAAGTGTTTTTCATTTTGAGCAAGAAGTTTTTGTTTTAACAAAAAAAAAATTCTTTGAGAGAATGCAATCTTTTCTTAATATAAACTACCCTTTGAGGAATGGTAAATAAATCTATATTAGAGACTAACACCACAACCTTGTATTGTTTTTGATTCTCTGACAATTATGTATTACTTAATTCTAAATTCTATGTAAAGAAAGAGAATTTCATTATGTGAAGATTACAGATTCCGTGTTGCTCGTTCAAAAGGCTCTAATCCTCTACTTTATTGAAAAAGAACCCAACAGAGTTTTTTGTTTAACCTAACATTTTAAATCTGTTGCTGCCTTTCTTTTTTTTAATATAGCAACTTATTAGTTATGAGTAAGAGTCATCTGATACCACCTATGCTCTCTTTGTAATGAATGCTTCTTCACATTAAATAACAGAGCAAAGTGTCTCTGAAAAATATAATATTCGTCTAAACAAGCCATCAACAAATAACCAAAAAAAAAAAATGTCTGCAGGCCAATATAATCAATATAACATTATCTACTTGGGTTTTCTCAACAGCATATGGAGAAAAAAAATTTTTAAAAATGCGAAATTATTTAATAGAGCCTGGACATAAAAATATTGCCAAATATTACCTAGAGGAGTTATTACCTGTCTAGAGAAAGTGTTACAGTTTCATTCATTTCTGGTATGTCATCAGCTTTGACAGTAATGTTGATTGTTGTATCACTTTGCCCAGATAAAAACACAACAGAGCCATTAAAAGGACCTATATCATCCAGAGTCACTGCTTTTGAATTAAAGCCAGAGGGCTTTAAACTCCAATAGACAGTAGCCTGCCCATCTGTTCCATCCCGATGTAGAGGAATGTATATCTTATACAAAAGAAGAAGAAGAAGAAAAACAAGTTCTTCTGAAATACATGCACACAAATTATATAAACATTATGTTTAGTGAATTCACACTTTGTTATTCTACATAGTGAACTATTAAATGCCATTAAAACGCAATTGAACAAATCTTTGTAAGCATGAAACTAATTTTAAATAAAGCTAATTAATTCTACTAGTGAAATTTAGCTATAAACTATCCACATCCAAAATATGCCTACACAGGGATCCATCTCAATAAAAAGACAAATATTTTAAGTCAAATAATCTGAAAAACATTGAGCAAGCTTGTTGTTGTTGTTAAGTGCCGTCGAGTCGGTTCCGACCCATAGCGACCCTAAACAGGCTTTCCGAGGCTGTAAATCTTTACGGGAGCAGAAAGCCTCATTTTTCTCCCGCGGAACAGCTGGTAGTTTCAAACTGCTGACCTTGCAGTTCACAGCCCGATTCGTAACCACTACGCTCCTTACTAAACCATAAATATCCATGAGAAGGTTTCTGAAAATGAATTCAATATGAGACAGGATACATTCAAAATAAATATTTTCATTAAAACTGTAAATTATACATAATGTAAGGTACATCCCAAAGTGATATGAGCAAATAAGACAAAAATGCTACCCAATTAAATAAATCCTAAAATCATGGCTCTTGCTCATCTTGGGTAAATTACTTAACCTTTCTGAACTAAATGTCCTCATGTAAAAAGAAGTTCCTGGCTTCTATTTTATAAGTTTGTGATATTAGAAATCATTAAAAATCACAAAAGCAAAACATCTAGGGCACCACTTCTCCACAGAATGGGCTACAGAAGTGGAAGCTATTATCTATGAAAACAAACTGCATTTGGTACTTCCATTCAAGAGTTATAAAGTGCACTCAAGTCACTTTCAACTCATAGCGACCCTGTATAGGGTTTCCAAGGAGTGGCTGGTGGGTTTGAAGCACTGACCTTGCAGTTCAAACCAGGAAGTCCAGTACTTTTCCTATAGAGGTATACCAGGACTCTAGATTATGATGTTGTTGTTGTTGTTAATTGCCTTTAAGTCGCTTCCGACTCACAGTAACCCTGTATAGGTTTTCCCAGGAGCAGCTGGTGAATTTGAACTGTGGACCTTGCAGTTCAAAACAATCTTGTGGTCTAGTGCATTATCGCACAGCACCATACCAGGTATCTTCAAACAAATAATGTAAATGAATATTTAATTGTAGTGATATGGTAATTTTTCAACTTCTTGAAAGAGGTTTCCTCTTTATTCTTTGCCCTTTCTCATATGCAATCTTAAAACCATAGAAAACGTTTTCACCTCTAACCATTCTGCTAATTTGGCTAGTAATGGTAAGGGACTATAAGTAGTGGGTAGACTACGATTCAAAGTAAAGTCATAAAAATAATAAGAGTGGACCAGGCCATTGAAACATCTAGAGGGAGGGAGTGTGACCAGGATGGGACAAAGAGAAACTCCCATTTTCTTTCATTTCATAAAAAGGGTGGAATAAAGGTTCATGGACCCCAAAACATTTCCTAAAACTCAATTTGCCTAAAGAGAAAAATACAAAATGGTAAATGTACAGCTTTATATGATAAATAAATAAGAGCAATCCACTCATTAGGAAGAAACTAAAAAAAGATAGATTGCTATCACTGTTATCAAGTTATCATTTGAACTGTAATGCTGATGGTTCAAACACACTATCTGCTCCTCAAGTGCCCTAAATAGGGTCACTCTGAGTTGGAACCTACTAGATGGCACTGAACAACACATCAAATACCATAGCACTACTAAAAGCATGCCTATCAAAATATCCTCTGCTCCCTGTAGGTGACTAATTCTAATTTTATTCTTTTTGAATATAGTAAAGAATGATGAAAAAATCATAAACTCATTGATTACCTGTATCAAATTATATCTTCAAGGCTTGCTATAGATGGGCAAGCTTTTCAAGATCTGTGAACTCTGTATGCTAACTCTAGAAGAAAAACAGTGTCAGTACATAACTCCAAACTCCTTCAATAAGGAAAAGCCTTCTTACCACTTCAGCTGTAGAATCGTCTGGTTCATGCAAAATGATTGGAAGATTGCTAGTAAAGCCAATTTCTCCATTTGCAATGTCTGGAGTGACCAATAAAGAAATATTCCTGATTTTTCCAAATCTAGGACTTATAGGTGGGATTGGGGGAATTATGTTCACCAATTCCACATTTTCCAACTACAACAAATAAACAAAAACACTGAAAATTAGGATAGAAATTTTTTTAACAATTTTTTTAAAAAACCTTAATAACATGAGATGACAAAATAAACATGGGTAATGTTCACCAATAAATTAGCAATGTAATTTTCCTTCTACCTCATTCACCATCTCTTACCAATGTCCTGTGCTGGTTCTTTTAGCTCTTTCTGTGCCTCAAATAGTATTCCCCAAGGTTCTTCCTGGGCCTTGGTGTGGCTCAGTAGGATGAGCACTGGACTGGTAAAGTCCACAAAAGTCCACAATCCAACAGCTACTCTCAGAAACTCTATACAGAGTTGCTATGAGTCGAAATTGACTTAACAGCACACAGCAACAACAAGGTTCTTCCTAATCCTTTATTTTAGAATTTTGTGTTTGTTGTTGTTCAGTGCCATCAAGTTGGTTCCCACTCATAACAACCTTGTATAGAGTTTCCAAAGAGTGGCTGGTGGGTTTGAACCACTGGCCTTGCAGTTTACAGTCCAGTGCTTATTCTATAGTGCAACACCAGGATTTATCAAGCAGTGTCTCAATTTCTTCCTCAGATATGAAATCTTTATTACCAACTGCAAATTGCACATCACAGGAATGTCAAAAAGATGCTTCACAGACGATCCCATGCACAACAGGAGTTAACCAGAGAACTTTCATTGAGTGACTTTTCATAAGTAGATTGCCAGGTTTTTCCTCTTAGTGTATCTTAGTCTAAAAACTCCACAGAAACCTGTTCAGTATTAGAGCAACCCACAAGTTTCCACTGACAGACAAATGGTGTCTACACTTATTGTACATTGGTCAACCCCACAGACAGAATCAGAGTCCTGGTGTGGCATTGTAGGAAAGGTGCAGGACCTCTAGGCCAATTTGGATCACAAGGTCGGCAGTTCAAATTCACCAGCCACTCTTTGGAAATCCTATACTGGCTCTCTATGAGTTGGAACCCACTCGACAGCACTTAACAACAGACAGAATGCCCCAAATGGCAATCTCTACCTTTGTTCCATGTACCCTCACTACCACAAGCACCACTACCACAAGTTGTTTTTCCTCCTTGTATTTCAAGTACCTATTATAAGTACCTTGACCTTAAAGTCAAATGTCAGAGTAAGCCACACATCTGTCCACTTATCCATTGATCCAGTCAATCATTCATTCTTTTTTATTGCCAGAGAAAACCATCAGAAGACCATTCAGAATTCCAAATTATAACTTATGTCTGTATATTTAAAGTAATGCAGCACATATAAAACAAATATTGTTTTTGCTATTATGTGGTTGCAACTCATAGTGACCCTGTATAGGGTTTCCAAGATGTGGTTGGTTGGTTTGAACTGTCCATCTTGTGGTTAGCAGACCAGTGCTTATCCTATAGTACTACATCAGGATCCTGTAATGTATAAACATGACCACCACAGTAACTTTTCATGGTGCTTTCTTTATCTGGAATGCCCACTGTTGTGGTAATTGACTGTCATTGAGTCGTTTCCAACTCATAGTGACCCTGTATAGGATTTCTGAGGAGCAGCTGGTGAGCTTGAACTGCCAACTTTGTGGTTCAAACCAACCTTGCAGTCTAGCGCCGTTAACCCATAGCACCACACCAGAACTCCAGCCTGCACTCTATCATCTCATAAATCCAAAATGTATTCACCACTAAAGGTCAACTCAATATTTCTGCTCTTCTATAAAAGAACTCTCCAGGACTCTCCAGTACTCTTAATTCTACTACTTTCTGAACTACTGTTGTTATCCCCACTAAATCTAATATTGGATTATAAAGTTCACATGTTGCTTGTTTAAACTCCAGCGTGGTGAAAATGGAGTTGCCATGAGTCAGAACAACCACAAAGACAAATGAGTTTGATATTAGCAGTTTATCATCATTTTGTGTATCCCAGGTTTTTCTTCACACATGACTGGAGAGCTCTTGAGTGACGGTGTTCTTTTCTCCATTTTTCCCAGTACTTAACAGAGACTAAATGGCTGATTTATCCCTGCAACATAAAACTGAGCTCTACAGGTACATCAAAAACCTTCAAACTTAAAAGTTCTAACTACAAAATCCATTAATACGATATTCACTTGAGAAGCTTAGGAATTGATAACTAATAATAGGATTTCAAAAAGCATAGGGATTTCAAGTTTAAAAAAAATTAACTTAATGGGTCATTGTAGATCTCCCACTCTTCATGATGTTGTGTTGTTGTTGTTGTTATGTGCCATGGAGTCGGTTCTGACTCATAGTGACCCTGTACAGGGTTTCCAAGGCTGTAAATCTTTATGGGAGTGAAAGCCTCATCTTTCTCCCCCAGAACAGCTGGTAGTTTCGACCTACCGACTTTATGATTTGCAGCCCGATTGTAATATGGAAATAATACCACCAGCAATGGACACAGACCAATGCTACCGATCCCCCACATACTCTCACCTTCTGTGATTAACAAGATACATTTTACAGGGTAAAAGGTAAATGCCTTTTTAAAAGGTCACATGCTTTGCTTTGAGAATCATATAAAAAAGAAAGGTATTTAAAAAATATTGAATTGGTAAATATTCACTTAAGTAAAAGACAAAAAGACTAACCCATATTCTAAAACACTGGCATGAAGACTAAGCCAATTACACTAAAATCTCTGATTCTATAGTAGTCACGTATATAAACACACTTGTGAGTGAACAATCATGTGCCTAATTGCCATGAAGAGTTATATAAAGAATCTCCATATTGTTTTACTAAAATTTTCTAAAAAGAAAACAATTTTCTTCAAAGTTACTTAAATCAAAAAGCTACAGAATTAATCATAGATATAATATTTTTGACTAATTAAAAGAAAGAAGTTCTAGAAATCTAAGAAATGAACTCCCCGACAGGGAAATGCTAATTTCACAGAGCTTCTATCTTAGTCTCTTCGCCTTTCTTACTGGGTTTCTTAGGCATTTGCTAAATCAAACTGCTCCATTCATGAAGATGTGTTCTTTGCTTTCAGATAGTCTGCAACTAGGACAGCACATTAGTAACTCTGTGCCTGACAAAAGTTGTATCTCAGACAAATGCATCTAACTGAAAGGGTTACTAAAGAATGAAGCACTCCTGTCTCAGATTCTCCTTTCTTCAGTTTCATCCAACTTTCCTTGCAGTCTGATGTCTCCTATTCTTGCATATCTCATCCATTATCTACTATTCAAACTACACAATCTTCTAATTCCAACCAGCTTGCCAGTGCCTACAGCTGTTTTGAATCTAAAGGAATTATGGCAGTGACTAATAAAACTTTCTATTTTTCCTAGACAAGTGTTAAATTAACTGTCTGCACAGTAAGACCTTTGCTTTTTTAACAGAATACAGAGACGCATAAAGAATTACGTCTGGAATCCATGATGCAAATGACTCTAACATAGTCTGGGTTGCTGTATTCTGTAAATCCATGCTTCCTTCAGGTTTTCCCATATTTTTCAAGGTGATCAAAAACAAATTCTGTCATGAATTATAGGATGCTGAGAGTAAAAGGGCAGGGTAATTCTGACAAACAAAGGTTCTTAGTATGAATGTGTCTATGTGGGGATTTTTCATAAATACTTTGGTAGAAATATATATGAGCATGTACAGTGGTTACAAATTGGGCTACAAACTGCAAGGTCAGCAGTTCGAAACTACCAGCTGTTCCGCTGGAGAAAGATGAGACTTTCTGCGGCCATAAAGATTTACAGCCTCAGAAACCCTGCACAGGGTCACTATGAGTCAGAACCGACTCCACAGCACATAACCAGGACCAGGATAAGGATATATGTATATATATTGTTGTTGTTAGGTACTATCGAGTCAGTACCAACTCATA